AATTAAATAATATAACTACAGGCACAAAACATTTAAACTGATTATTGTAAATTTAACATTTTATTAAATATTCTGCCCATTGGCAATTTATAGTTTCACACCTATTACTCAACGTGGTCATATTTATAAGCCAAGCACATTGAATGTATGCATAATGTACCTGCAGCTCAGATACAACACATGCTGTATATTAACAGTGAAGGCACAAATTTTATAATTGTATAAAATTTTATAAAATGCACATAACCTTCTACATTACCATGGATGCCACCACCAGAGAGCGTTTGCCAACAGGGCAGTTGACAAGTATCCATTCTTTCTCAAAGTCTTCCGGTACCTCTACCATCCACTCAGAGAGCATCAACTATAAAATGTTTAACATTTTGTAGTACACTTTCTGCAACTTTTGCTAGTAATGTATTGAGCAATTACTAATAATCATGCTTAATTCCATGATTCTAAAGAAATCATTTTTAAAAGCACAGAAAAATTTATCAAAATCTGTCTGTAACCTTTTGCATGTTTCGAAAAGCTTAACAAACAAACAAACAGGGCCAAATATTACGTATTTGTTGGAAGTAGTGATTCACATCTTTGAGACACACACTGAGCATCAAAAACAAAAATTTTAGCATCTACCTGATTTTTATATCTTCTTCCTGGTTTCTTAAAGACCACCTCACAGTCCATTTCTTCAAATCCTTGATCAGCCACCTCTTCCCCATACATTTCATTATCATCCTCAGTCCAATCATCTTCAGCCACATTGCGCAGGTAACTCAAGTAATCAAACCTTTGTCTACAAAGTAAGGAAAAAAGTTAGTGACTCTGCCTTGGTTCAAACTTTAATATCTCTGACAATTTGAAACTTAAATCTTTTTTCAAAGGCGCAAATAAGCAACGGAAATGATGATAATTTAATTAGCATGTGCTGCCTTATTCACTGTGCATTTTATTAAAGCTCCCTGTCTCAGCATAATTTTTTTCATGTAATGAAGTGTTTAATAAAACCTTACAGACCTGACAAATAATGAATACTATCAATATCTTTGTATGTTACATATATTAATTATATATTGTAATAATAATAATCTTAATCAATATGTAAAAGAGAATAAAAAAATTTCAAAATAAAAAAGGAAAGAAAAACATCCTATGTGAAAGAATTTGAATTAGCCATTCTAAAGTAAACCACCTGAACATACAAGAATGTGCTTCTTACAAATAAATCTGACAATGTTTGTGTTTGCTATTTTCTTTACTTTTTCTGGGCATCTAACATTCGTTTCCTTCTCTCTGCTTGATCAAGAACATTGCCTTTGACTTTGTATTGGCTGAACCTAGGGTGTGGTGCCGCTGTGCTGTTAGGTTCTGATGTTACACTGAAACTCCCAGCCAAAGATGCCACCAAGTCTTCCATGGTGTTTTTCTTACAGATCCAATCTACTGGTGTGTGAAACTCAAAGCTTCAGATCACTTAGCTGAAAAGACAATAATAGTAGCATTAATAAGCAAAAATAACGATGATAAATTATTTCTACAATAGCAACAATGAAGATGAAAATTTACTATTAATACATACTATAAAGTATATACCATTCACAGAAAAACATCAAAGCTTCAAACCACTCAGCTGAAAAGACAATAATACTAGTATTATTAAGCAAAAATAATGATGACAAATGATTTCTACAATAGCAACTATGAAGATGAAAATTTACTATTGATGCATAATGTATACACCATTTATGTAACAGTTAATAAAAGTTTGGAAACAGTTTGGAGCACAAACTTGTTATCCCCTAGAATAGTCACATTCCCTTCCAGATGCAAATTTCCTGACTTTTCACAGTTCTGAACCTGACATCTATGTTCTTAAACAAAGTTTCCCTCACGCAAACAGGTAAACTTGTAGCTTTGGTCTCCCTCATAAGTAGCACTGCAGTTGTTCATGAATCATGATACAAGGTTCCAAAGCGACGGCAATGAAACCGGTTCCGGCATTTTGGTAACTTTAAAATCGTGATATAGAATCTGTTGGTGAATTGTCTTTATTTTGATGTGTCTCATCTATAACATGTTGGTCTCTTTCGCAAAACGATACCGGAGATAAACAATCTATGAAACTCACCACAGATTAAAAGCACGTTCTGCCTTCTTCCATATTGAAACCGGAAGTTTCATTTTAACCAATAGAATTGTCTGCTTTTCAGTAATGAATCAATCATAAGCCAGAAAAATAGCAAGTCCGTAGCGCTTGGTAGAAGAAACAAACTTCCGCTTATGTCTTATTTTGTTAAGAAAGAGTAAGTATCTGTAAATCACGTGCTGTGGTGCATTTCGAAATGTTGTGGCAAGCTAGAGTTGTAAGTAAAGGGAAGATCTTAAATGAAAAAACTTGTAATATGATTATATATTTAGGGCATGACCAGATTTCTTGTTGTTCGAGTTGTCTTCTCTTCTAAAATTGTCAAGTTGTTTTATTTATATGTAATATTCAACATTTTAAAGAAAGTGTTTCATTTTGCATGCATGCTGATAGACTTGTTAAATGTGCTTTCCTTTGCCTAGTTTCCATTTAATGTCCATGTTTATTATTATTAATTTTGATGAAATTATTTATTTTCATCTCACAGGTAAAAAAATTCAGTCTGCAATGGCAAATGCAGAAGCAAGCAATGCTGATAAAGTTCAGCCCCAGGGTAGTACAGAAACTGTGCTGTATAACTGGCAAGATGTAACTGAGGAATTCATGGAAGCTGCCTCAGAGTTAAGTCTGGGAGAACTTTTACATGATTCAGAGTATGTATATTTGTTAGTTAAAGTTCTTTCTGGCTGACTGTATTGAATAAGTAAATTTCTAAGCATAAACTTTGAAGTAATTAATATTTGAACTTTTAGTGTGGTTAGACTCACATCAAAGACAACTGTTATATATTGAGTGTGAATGTTGGGTTGAACTAAGGGATTTTGTTTCACAATGCTTCTTCTTGATGTTTATACATTATAATCCTGTTATGAATACAGTGTTTTATGTTATGCTTAAATTGTCTTTCACTGCTTTTTATGTACAGACACAGATGTGTCTGTACATATAGCCATCATCTGCGTCTGTCGTCGCCGTCGCCGTCNTAAGAATTTGATGTTGGCTATACAGTTACAGTAAGCATAATACATTAGTTCATCAGAATTGACAGTATCTTATTTCCTGCGTTTTTATTTTCTGGTTTTTGTCTGTACATTTGACAGCTTTGCTGCCTTGTTTCAGCTTTGGTTTGTTTGAAGCCATGTCTGCCATAGAAATGATGGACCCTAAGATGGATGCAGGAATGATGTGCAATCAGACAAAACGAAAAGTACTAAGTTTTGAACAAGCTATTGAGGTATGGATATTGAAACACAATTTAAAGTGAAATATAGGATCGTATACACATTTACATGTGCTAATAGAAATTAAGTTTATAAGAGTTAAGCTAACAAAATAATGAAAAGAAAAGTTAGGTTGCCCATGGTGTGAAATTTTATGGTAGATGAAATAAGTAATTGTGAAAACATTTTGGAAAATTTTAATAGCAATTTGAATAAAGTGTATTTTTTCTTTTCAGGCTGGTACTATCAAAATTCAAGATATCCCCCTGCAAGATCAGATTGGTATAATGGACATGACTTTATCATGTTTAGTAAGTATCTGTACGCATAGTTGTATTTTGGTTTTTTCTTGGGTTTTAATCCTGACTGACTTTCTTTATAATTAATCATGTCATATTGCCTGTCCATTTTGTCATAATTCTTTTATTTTATGAAGATGTTTTTAAAAGCATAAACCTAAACTTTTCTTTCAGGTAACATGGCTAGAAGGCCACTCCTTAGCACAGACTGTATTCACAAATTTGTATCTGCACAATCCATTTATCATAGAAGACCGCTTTATGAAGGCATTTTCCTTATGTATGCTGAAGATTGTAGATCTCATTAGGGACAGGATCAACAGGGCATCAGTGTTCGAGGAGGTTAGTGTTCTGGATGAGACAGATTACAAACCCACAAATTAAAATTTTTTTTCATGTACAGTTGATAAAGCATTTATTACAATGCTTTGTATGTTACTGCTGTTATCAAAAATGATTTATTTTACAATTTTAATTTGAATTTAATGTGGATTGTTTGAAAATTGTTTTTTTTTTTAATATAAGCTTCAGGTAGAAAAGAAGTTACCAATGCATTGTACCTGACAGTTCATTTGCATTAAAAATTTTTTTACACAACTTGTATTTTTCTGATCAGGAGGACTTTCAGCCTATGACATACGGATTTAAGATGGCTGGTGACATCACAGACATGAGAGTTACAGGGATGGTGAAGGAAGCAGAGGAAGAACTCAGCAAGACCATCAGGGTGTGTGAGCAAATTGTGAAATGAATTCTAGAATCTAGATCAACTGAGGTCATTATAATCTTTCTGCTTTAACTCCTTAAGTTTTTGCAATGTTATATTCTCTTTTCATTCAAGGTTATAACTATGAATGGGTGTGTGTCCATGTGTTCATATTTTGTACAGATAGGAAAGCTAAGTTTGGATTCAATCTGGAGATAAGTATTTGTAACAAAACAAATATCTTACATCATTTCAGAACACTAGGAGTAAATCAGGAGAGGAAAGAACTGCTGTAATTGCTGAAGAGGTTTGTTATCATACTTTTCTTTAAAAAACAGTCAACTGTTTTTCCACAGAAAGGTTCAAGGTTTATTCTAAAACTGAATAAGCATATGAATATGTGCATAACATACTTCTGTTTTTATTGATGTAATGAATTATGCATATTAAAACTTGATGTAAGTTTTAATGTGTAAATGATACAGCCTTCATAGATCAGATTGTGTTTTAATAAGATATTTGGGAAAGTTATAATTGAATTTAGTGTAAGGTAAATAATAGACAGAAGCAAACATTACTACAAGTTCGTATGATGATTATAGGTATGTTGCCATCTTACCATTACACTGGATATCCAAGAAATTATCAAGTATACAGAAGAATAGAGAGATGTCTTTAATGTGAAACCAGTAAACTAAAATGATTCTATTTGTGCCATGCCAACGCTGAATTATATTTTAAAGTCACATTCCTTCTTTATTGTAGCATGAGTTAGCTGTAGCTGTTTTTTCAAGGCTGAAATTCTGCAGACTGCTACTGACAACATTGCTGGCTTTTACCAAAGAAAAGGTAAAAATGGTCTATTTGTTGAAACTAGTTGACATCAAGCTAAGAATGATTTATGTGTCTTGAATTTAAAACAAAAACCATACAGCATCATAACCACTTCTTAATTTTTGCCAGGCAAATTTACTTTTTTGCCTGCATATGTTTGTAGTAGTTTTTCATAGACCGTATATGGCATTATATAAAAAGTTGGTCATTTTGCTAAGTGCTTTGCTTTTTGATCTAATCGATCAAGTTTTAATATTTATATTTTTTTCATTTATTTGATGCATTTAGTGCCAAGGAATCCCTGATGCTGACAAATACTGCAATCAAATGTTAGAGCTGATACCTGCCTTGAAGAGCACAATTCAGCTTGGAGTACAGCCAGATGAAAAGTCAGCAGGTGTGCAAAATATGCTTTGTATGTTGGCCTGGACTAAACCAGATTTGGTTCATGTTAGACTTGCCTCATCAAATTTGTGCAAGGTCAGAGCTGACTTAGTCAGTAAAACTCCACTGTTCCATTTACACTTCTTTGCTCACCATTCCCATTAAGTAGACCAGTCCTGGCACCCTTATCCCAAACTTTGTACCATCAGATAATCAGAAAGCATTTGCAGTGTCTCTGCAACAATTCCGCATTAAAATAAATGATTTATCTAACTTTGACAAAGATTTTTATCAACATTGTGTAAGTCAAGTCTATGAATCTGATCAACTTTAGGCATGGTTTTTTGATACATTTATCAGATTATCCACTTATTATGGGCTTTGAGCCCCTGGTGAACCAGAGACTGCTGCCTCCCACCTTCCCCAGATATACTAGGATAAAAACAAGGGGAGAAACCATACAGTATCTACAGGAGCTCATACATGACTTCAAAGCAGTGTGTTCTGTCACTGAATGTACAACCCTGCATGGGGCTATTGTAAGTGTTTAAAAAAGAAGAAGTAAGGATTAAGGAAACAATTATGTGTGGCAGCAATTATTACCTTTAAGAAAAATATTCAGATTGATATTGATAATGATTATATTTTAATAATACCTTATTTATATTGGTTATGAATGTATTAAATGGGGCGTATGATATAGGCATTTTATTTCATGTTTTCTTTTACATTCATTCTCTTTTATCCAGGATTTTTTCTTGGAATTTAGCAGGAAATCTCCCAGTGTGCTGTCCAGGTCTTTAGTACAGGTAAGTCGTATTATTGTTGACTAACTCAAGTCAGTTTCCTAATGAAGAGTATTACTTAGTATATATGTATCAGGTTTGGTTAATTTGTGAAAAATGTCAGAAATTTATAAATATATATAAAGCATGTTGATCTTACAAATTTTATCTTAGCGTTATCCTACAAAGAACTGAGTAAGAAATGATTGCTTCTTACGTATCTTACACATCATGTGCAGACACAGGTACACTGTAGGTAAAATATATTTATCCTTTCTTGTTAAGCTGGCATACCTGAATCAGAGCAGGAGAGTGTTTGGTACCCAGCTTATGCAGGATGTTCTCAGGGAACAGATCAGGAATTTTATAGCTCCCCCAGCTCTCATGCTGAAGTAAGTATTAAATTTACATTATTTGTAAGTCTCTCAGTGATCTAAGTTTTTCATTCCCTTTTCACATTCCCTTTAAGTAAACAAATTTGGTTTGCTTTTTGAAGACTATGAATTTGAACTGAAGAGGTCATTTTCAAGTTTAAACTAACAGCATTTTAACATATTAAAATATGTTGACCAAGAGATACAGAGGTTTTAGGCAAAGTTAGTAGATGAAATGTCCATTTACACACATTCATTAAGATCAGTTGTATTTAGCTATTGCATTTACTTAAATTAGGAGCCCAATATTGAATAATCCACAAGCCAAAGAACATATAGATGCTTTACTGACACATGCAGTGCGTCCATTGTGCAATGTTATTCAAATAACAGGCCACAACAGGGCCAGACAGAGAGACAAGTGGGGACAT